AAAAAACTTTAATCAGCTACCTACAGAAACCGCGCGATGGGTTAAAGAAAGGGGGGGAGCTCAGCCCCCCCCCCATCTTATAGTAGAGCCGCTCCTGGTTATAATCTCTTGTCAAGTGTAATCCAGTCTAGAAGCTAAATTACAATTGTACATACTTGCTTTAGTCAAATACTTTGACAAAACCCAGCGCCCCTGGTGGCACAGCGGTATGTCTGTGGACTTATAACGCTAGAAACCGGGTTTCGATACCCATGGTGGGCAGAGCACAGATAGCCCTTTCTGTAGCTTTGTACTTACCTACAAACAAAACTACTAACTTACAAAGAAGGCGAAAAGAGGTAGAGCAATCGTATTATCGAGAAAGCTAAGTCTTCAATCGTGTCACTGGTGAAAATTGGATACCATAATATAATAGAAGATTTTGTTTTCAAATATAGTTGAAAACATATCAAAGAACATCGAAAATATTCTTCTGATTGTATGTTAATAAAAAATATACCTCAAGTACTGAGACAATGTTATAACTAGTCATAATCTGTCCAAACTAGGGAAAAGTCTCTGTTCAAGAATAAAATTTCAAAAATCTTTCCCAATTAGAGAAAAATTTCTGTTCGATGACGCGACTTCTAGCGTCTCTCTATCTGTAAGATAAACATTTTTAGAAAAGCTTATCTGTTTGTTTTAGTATAGAACTATACAATAGGCAATTTGCTCTTTGTTAATTACGGGGAATCGAACTCAAGAACTTAGCGTCATAAGTTTGTAAACTTACTGCTGACCTAGTGGGGACTAGAAGAGTCTGTAAAAATAACTTTGACGAATTTTAAAACTACCATAAATAAATATTTCTATCTTGAGCTAAACCTTTTCTGTGTTAATTAATGTTGCTCCTCTCCCTTGACTCGGTGGTAAGCTAGATAATTCAAAACACTAAAAAATCATGGTTAAATAAGAGCGATGGGTTAATCGCAAATAGCCCCTTTTGTAGCTTTGCGCTTAAAACCAAAAAGTAAATTTAGATGTTAAAAATAACCTTTTATACGGATCAAATTTTTACAATTATAAAAATGATGTGTGACAAAACCAATCAAGTAAAAATTTAGAGCGTCACAGAAAATATGATAAAATTTAACACAGTTTCAATTACTTAGCTATTACTATTCACCCAACAGTTAAATTAAACATAAATAAAATCAAAGATTGAACAAATTGTTACTTTTGAAAAATTCATTAAATGATATGAATTTGACCCTTTATCAGTTTTAGTAATGAGAATGTATTTAAAACCGTTCATTTAAACAATACCTTTCGTACCTATAAAAGTTATTTCACATTTTTCATGTTTGACAAGATTAGAATTAACATATATGTTAAATTTTTAGTTTTTGTAGAACACTACGTTTATGTAATGACTTCTTTACATTACCGATGATTTCGTGTTTATAGGAATTTAATAATCAAATTAAAGGTTTAAATTTAAGTATTGGTTTTCGTATTTGTCCTAAATAAATTAAACTGATAGACTTGGCTCACTAACTAGAAGTTAGGTAGCTAGTAAACAGAACCCACCGCCAACTCTTAGACTAATTGTATCTGATCGAACAGTGGGATTTGATAGTCACTCTTTGATCGCACCCACGATCCCAAAGTACGGAGTGTATTTTTGTGGTAACGGGTCGCGAGAAACGATTCCTCGGATTCACAGTCCGGGCACGCTAACAAATAGACCACTTCCTGCCCGACTGATAACAAATGATATGACTTCCAAACTAAAACAAAACGTAAAGCATTAAGTTATTATCATGTTTTGCTTATAATATCCTAACGGAAACATTACAGTAGTTATCAAGTAGGCTAGATTTCTCAGGAAGGAGATGAGCAAGTTGCAATTTCCTGTTAAGATATTTAAATGGCAGACAATCAAGTTAACTAATTAATTGCAAAAACACATATTAAGTAATATTTTGTTAAGATTAGAAATGGTCAAATAAATAAACAGTTGAGAACTATTTTTAAATATTATAAGAGAGGGCGCTATAACTGAAATAAAAAAGTAAATACATTCGTTCCGCTTCAGTGGTTGAGTATAAACAATGATACCCTATAAATAAACAAGAGCAGGGGAATGAGCGGCGATACGAAAAGAGTCAGTCAGGATCGGTAACGTTGTATTTTAGTATAGTGAGTACAGAGTTTATTTATTTTGATATGTTTGTCATTTCTCATGGAATATTTTACAGTTTAACAGAGTTTGACATTTTAAATATTGCAAGTAAATTTATGTTACTTTTTACTTTCGTTCTTAGTTTAAAAAATTAAATTTACTAATTAACAGATATGGCTTTATTTTATAAACTTATAAAATTTTATTTTTGTAACGTTTCTGGTCAAATTTAAAGCAAAGTAAGTGGGATGTAATATATATTATATATTACAACAAATTAGTAAATAATGTATACCGGTATAATCAGGAATATATAAGTCAAAATAAATCACAAGTTAAAAGAATGCGTGAAACTGGAAGTAATATAATTAGGTAATACATTTTTATTAAATTTAAAGATTGAATAATATTTTAAACTCTAAAATTTGTCGTGCGTTGCGTATTAGTACTATTGATTAGGACATTTAATACTTAAAAGGTAGATAAGAAAATATTAAGCATTTGAATACACTGATTAAAAAAAAATATAAGTTGGGGTTTTATTTTGTCTTGCAAGTAATGACGCTAGTACTTCGTATTAATATAACATTATAAGTTATGTGGATTTTCGTGGTCTCTTGTAAATGTTTCTAAACTTTTATTCTCTTTTATATGTCTGGGCATTAAAATGTATTTCTTTTGCTAGTACAACATTATATAGTTAAAAATTTGAGAAGACTGAACCATGTATATTTACAGTTTAGTGGTTTTAAGTTTTACCTTAAATTGTCCGTGTTAAATTATAGTATTTATTGCAGAATCTCGTATATCTATTTTTTATTATTATTTTGTAGATGGCATTCAAATGTTTAAACACTTGTCAAAATAACCACCATGAAGAAGACAAAGGGTAATGGGATGTTTTATTATATTCAGTCTTTTATATCATAGTAGGATTGGACTTAAACACATAAATAAGTGGATGACAAAAGGATAGTCAGTCCAGTAATTTTACCTATAAATATTCCAAGTAATATATTTAAAAAAGTTGCAATTAATTATATCTTTTTGTTCATAAAAATCACCTGAACTTCAAAAGTTTAAGAATTTTTAGCTAACTCAGTAATTGTACACATTATTCCATAATTTGAATTTAAAGACATGAAAATTTCTGAAATAATCCATCACGTAGAGATCCATATCTTGTTTCAGTAGCATCTAATTTACCATTTCCAGTCTTATCCTTTTGAAACTAAACTTTCTTTCCAGTTTTCCATGTCATTTTAAACACCTTAATCAAATCTGAATTCACAATTTTCATACAATTTAAAAAGGGCATCATTATCTTTCCAACTAATCATTGTCCTTTCTACATTAATCAGAATAAAGGAAAACATAATATTTTAAATGAAGCTTTACAAGAGTTTTCTTCAAAGCAAGAGTAATATTCTCTTTTAAACATGTCTTTTTTTTTTCTTTCTTTTTTTTTTTTTAAACCAGTCCCATCATAATATTATTTTATTATTAAACAGAGCTGAAGATTCAGATTAAGGCTTTAATTACACTGAAGTATATTCTTTTTCAAACATTATATTATCCAAACTATAAATTCCTTGTAAATATTTTCACTTTAATAATGTTGCACTACTTAATTTATGAAACTCATTTTTATAATGTGTCACTATTCAATAAGCTTTTTAAGAACTACATGCAGTACTGTCTCAGTTTGTCAGCATCAATGGATTTGGTCATGTAATATGAAATGTTAAGTTTTTACATCAGTCACAAATTCGGTGAATAATAAAGGCCCAAAGAGGGATGCCAATTTCAAAATAAAAGGTTAATGCAAACTCTAAGTGATATTATAATGCATTTATATGTAAATTTCTTGATGATTATATATTCATTATGAAGCAAGATAGTAAGTTTTTCATCATATTGTACTTATCATATTATAACTTTAATACTACTTTTAGTCATGTTAACATGATCTTGTCATATCATACTTATTATAAAATTAATACCACTTTTAGCCATGTTAACATGATCTTATTAATAGTGAGGTCAGTTGCTGCTTTTCACACACACACACAATTAAATTTCAGCTTTTATTGGAACTTTAAACTTGTTTATTGTATTGTTTGTCCATTTTCATTGAGATTTTTTTTTAAATAAATGAAGTAACTATTTCAAAAACATAGCAAGTGCCCCTTGAGAAGCTGTATGTTTCACCATAACTTTTTTTTTTAAACTGATTAGCCAAAATAAAATAAATATTAAATGATCCACTATTGATATAATAACCAACATTTAAAGACATTTATTTATTTGAAAATATTCAGACTAGCATAATATAACATTTGGGGCATTAAGGTTGTAAACCCAAAGTGTAGTTAATTGCATTAGAACCTTTGTCTTTCACAAAGAAAAATCAGTGACAAAACTTTGTTTATGTATTTGAAACTTTAAATTGTTTTTCAGGTGAAAAATTGAAAAAAATTGCAAAAGAAATATTACTGAAATTTCATAAATTTGTATGTTCAATATAAACAGTTGCATTATAATGAAATACCAGTAGTCTTTAGTTAGTGGTAAATATATTTCAAGTTTAAACCCAAATATTTATCAAAATCTGAGCACAGGACATTTAATGTTTCAATTTTTGTTCTAAAATAATAAAAATAAAAAAAATAAAAACGTACGAAAGTGGATAGAGCTTAAATGTATGAATATAGTAATGGATTTTGCTGTTTTTCAATGAAAATGACTGTTTTTCTGTCTAAGAATCTCTATAGTACCACTAAGATTATGTCACATTATAAATGAAAACATGTACAATGATTATTTATGTCTTGGTGTTTACAGTGGAATTGATAAATTCTTATGATTTGTTTACTCACCCTAATTATGATGTTTTCTTTTTTCCCATCCTTACAGATTTAACCCATACCAGATTTTTGCGGTAAGTTTTTATATCTTGTACATATGTTGACAAACTCTTAGTTTGGCAGGAAACTTTCAGTAAGTCTAGTTGTTACTTAAATTGTTAACTTAAGCTTTGGAATAACACTCGTAAGCAATATAAGAAATGGTTTCGTGATATTGATGCGTATTTATGGAAAAAATGTTTGAGCTTCACATATATAGCTCGTGCTATAGGTATATCCCTCCGACATATGCATGCACATCCTATATGATTTTTTTTGTTCCATATTTGTTTACATTTATTAATCTCATTCAGAAGGATGATACTGTAAATGATGCAGTGCATAAATATGTCAGCATGTTTATGTAATATTATTTTATATATATATGGCTATTCATATAAACTTTGGCTGTATACAAAATATTGTCATCTAATTTTAATCAACTTGAGTAATTGCCGTGTGATTTTCTGTATTTTGGTATACTTAAAATTTGAGAATTTTGTTGACGTTATACGAAGAAAGTTTTATATAAACAATTGTGATGTATGAATTTTTACACAGGTGTCCCCAACTTTCTGTCACATTCTCCATGTTGAAGTTCTTGAAGGTACTGGCATTACCAAAGGAAAACTCTCTGACTTTGGTAAGCAGCTTAAAAAAAAGATTTGTCCAAAGACGTAAAATTTAATTTTATAACTTTGTGCCACATTAACCACAATGAATTCTTGTATGCACTAGGCTAAAGGCTATTTGCATGTTTTGGTGGACCATAGTGACTTTTTTTCAGCTTATTTCACATTTACACATTGTCTAGTTAGATTTGCTAATTAGAAAATAAATAAATCTTTTAAGTGAATGTTAACATTTTTCCCATTCAATTATTCATATTGTTAAAGAATAATGTTCTGTTAAACATAACTTACAGATATGGTAAGCCACAATCTAACAATAGGAATATTTTTATGTAAAACATATTTTTTCTGATACAAAATAGGAGAAAAACATTTAATTTTTCTCTACTAGGTAAAAAAAAGAAACAAAACACAACAGTTTCTCTTAAGTTTAATGAGTTTAGTGAAATGTTGGCTAGCAGTATATTACTCAAGATAAATTGAATTCCCAATAAGGATCACTAAGTCATTGAAGAAAAAATCCAGACAACTTTAATTCGTTTACATGTGCTAGTTGTCATAGATACCAACCCTGAATCATTAATCAGTATGCATATGAAATGTAGTGCAAGATAATATTTATAAAAGGATTAATTTGTATGGAGTTGGCCTGGAGCCAAAGTGTTTAATCATTACACAAGTAAAGTTATAAATTTTTAAGAATATGATACCCTATTAAATGTAGGGGGAAGGAATTTAAAGAAATATAGCTTGTTTGGAACAAATTGGTCTTCTTTTTTTGATAGTTATGGTAATTTAATGTCTATTATGTATTTAATTTATATAAATATTATCTCATTTCAAGGCTTTCAAACAAGTTCATATTTTGGTTGTTTTGCACAGTTATTCAGATAAACAATTTTGTACATTAACTGTGTGTTCATGTCCAACTAAAAATATGTATTCAGTATACAATTATTTAACCTTACTGTTTATTTCAGGTCTGTAATGATTTTTATGTTTGTCCTACTGTAATGAGTTATAGCAAAAAGAACAACAAAAAAAACCCATATCTTCTTAAGTGGTTTTTTTTTTTTAAAAAAAAAAGCTAGTTCGCATGTCTTCCACTTTTACTTACCTACAGTTTTATTATGGAGAAGAAAAGCCACAATGCTGGGTGAATTGAACACGTGTAATTGTGGTGTAACAGAATTACAAATTAGGTTAATGTTGGAGATTGAGATCTTAACAATCAAAATTAGGTCAGCTACATGAGAACTATTTTTTGGTGTTCAAATTAATAGCCTCTTCTCATTCTGACAGTCAGTTGCTAATTGTGTTATTTTTTATATATGCGTAATGAAACTCTTATGTTGTGATCAGGATGGTAAATGAACAGCTGCAGACTTGAGAGGTGTTTGTTGGGTTTGTATTAAATGGATTTGAGGCCATTAGTGCTAATCTAATGGTAGTGTAATACCCGAGGGACATCTGAATTAAACGTGTGGCAGATTAAACTATTTATGTATATTCTTCACTGGATGATTGACTTAATTTTCTTTGCATCATTCTTTCCCTGGGTTAGGAAATATTGTTGTTGGTTCATAAGGACTGTTATCATCAATTGTTTCCTTGCATTGTTCTTCCCCTGAGTTAGTAGGTTTTGTTTTTGGGTCATAAAAAAAAAAAAGTTGAGGAATGTTGTTGGCGTAATGTTTCTTTACATTGTTCTTCCCCTGGGTTAGCAGGTTTTGTTTTTGGGTCATAAAGTAAAAAAAAAGTTGAGGAATGTTGTTGGCGTAATGTTTCTTTACATTGTTCTTCCCCTGGGTTAGCAGGTTTTGTTTTTGGGTCATAAAGTAAAAAAAAAGTTGAGGAATATTGTTGGCATAATGTTTCTTTACATTGTTCTTCCCCTGGGTTAGCAGGTTTTGTTAGATTAGAAGAAAGTTAAGGAATATTGTTAGTCTGGTATTTCTTCCCATTGTTACTTGATGTGCCTGTTTTATTGGGTATGTTCTCGACCTCAAAACAAGCCTTCATCTTGTTATGTGGGAAGTTATTTTGATTCTTGGTATGAACAATGGTTTAAATTTGGCTTGTAGAACATGAATTTTAGAGTATTGAAGTGACCTAAGGATGCCAACTTCAATCCCTGATTAAGGCAGGTTGTTTGACAGAAGGCACACAACCTTTACATTTCTGCTCTTTATTCATAATTGGATTCCCCTTTGTTTACTATATCAGGAATTTTATGCTTTAATGAATAAAAATGTTGTGAAAGGAATGTAATTGCTCTATCTAACAAGTATGCTGCACTGAATTTTAGCTTCTTTTTTTTTCTCCTTGCTTTTTTAGACTTGTACTGAATAATGCTTTCTTACATGACTGGTTTTGAAGCTCTAAAGTGTTTATGAACCAAACGATTCTTATTAGCTGTTTCCTTCAGTTAGCTTAACATTTGGTTGTATTATTGTAGTATATATGTTCTAACTTGCCATATAGACTTAGCCCACTGTTTTATTCCTATCAAAACTAAACCCTTTCTGCTCTGTTCAATCTGTTGTCTTTAGAAGCCTTTATCAGTTATGATAGGCAGGAGCATAGGATCAATAGTGCACAGTAGTGCAAGTGTCATACATTACCAACATTTTTGTGTGTGTGCCTGTTCCAAAAGCCGTTCCATTATTTGAATACTGTGTTACCATATTTCCACTTCTCCAGTCATTCCATTGCAATTATGAAAGTTTTCATGTTACCACTAGTAATAAACATATTTTCAGGATCCTAACGGCTGATGTAATAGTCTTTTTACAATTTTGGCCAATGTAGAAGTTTCTTGCGCTCCTAAATTTTGTTTTTCTAAGCAACTAGTACAAGATAGGGAGAAATTTAGGTTATATAATTAATTTATTATGTTGTCATAAATTGAGTTTTGTCATGTATGGTTTTTTTTGAAATTCTACATTTATGACAGTACAATTCAATTTTGTAACATTTGCATTTGTTTACTAGCACGAATCAGTCCTATTTATGAGGTATAGGTTTGAAATAAATGTAAATTTATTTTTGACAGTTTTTAGGATGGGCAAAAGGGATATCTAAGTTGTGTTTTTTGTCTCTTGTATTAGATTTAATATTTTTTTGCACAATTGAAATAAAAAATATTGAACATGTTTCAAGTCAAGGAGTGCCACAGATTTCATTTTAGAGTAACTTAAAGCCCTTTGGCTTCCAGGAGTCCCTATGTCCCCACTTATTTTTGTGGAGTCTCCTTACACCCCTGTGGGATAGATAATAAATTCTATGCACTTCTGTTAATTAACAGCATAAGACACATTTGCATGTACAAACAAATGTTTCCAATTAACCAGAGTTGCTGGTTGAAACTTTATAAATATCTTTAAGTGTTAAGGTGCATAATGAATAATGAGAGATTTAGTGTTTCTGTTCTGTTGGGTTTAAAGAGATGGAAGATTGCTTCAATCTCTATGTTTGGGAAAAAACATTGGCAAACTCCCAAATGATAGTCTGGTTTTTGTTTGTAAAGTATATGTCACAGTAGATTTTTTTTTGTTGTTGATTTAATTTTAGAGATGCTAGACTCCTCTGTATGTGTACACAGCTGCACTATTTCATAGTACATTTTGTACAGTACAGATGAACCAACAACAAGAAAAATATATAACACATGACCACTGAGTAAATTTTGATCAGCCATGTTTTTTACTTCTTGAATTTCATTAGATGTATTTAAATAAATTTATTTGACTTTTATTGATAACTGTTAACAAGAGGTTATTTGTTTGGTTTAGGTGTATAGCCTTTTATTCACATTATTATTATTCTAAAGTAATTTAGGTTTTTCGATTGTGCGACATACTGTCACAATTAATTATTTTTGTTTGAATAAAAGTATAGGGAACAATGGAAGTTTGAATATAAAACAGTTGTTATTTTTATAAAGTTGGGGGAACAATGACAGTGTGTAGCTTGACTTAAGAGTTTTTCAACTATTTAGCTAAGAGCATGTGAAATATAGTAGCCAAAGTGGTATCTTTCTAAAGCTAAACTAGGCATATGGCATTTTTTTTTAATTTCCTCTATCTTCAACATAAGAATTAAGTACCACTGTCTAGGCAGTTGTATTTAAAAAATTTCCCCAACTATTAAAGTTGCATGGTGGTTCTTAACAATGATAACTAAACAAGCATAGTATTTGTGTAAAATTCGGTTACTTTGCTTGAAGTAGCATATTTGTTAAGGCAAACTTTCTGAATTTTTCTTGCTGAACAAAAAATTAGCATAGATCAGACCCTCTGTAGAGATTGATTTTTTTTTTCACTTGTTTTGGATGCCGCTTGCTATCATTTATATGCTAAATGATGCACTCTTCAAGCAATACTATCTAAATGAAATTGCTTGTTGACTGGTTCATAAGATTTATGAAAAAATACTCTCTATGGGTAGAAAAGATGATCATTGTACTGTTGTGAATGTCAGTTTTACATCATTTTCATTATTTATTTTTATACAACATTATTACTTGTACAGTTGACACACCAGATCCCTATATTGTCCTTAAAGTTCCATGTACTCCAAATGGAAAGAAACGAACCAGATGGAAAAAGAATTTAGTTAACCCTTCTTGGAAGGAAACGTTTACTTTTGTTGTGGATCCAGAGAAAGATAAAATATTAGGTATGAATGAAAAATCTCTTAATAAATTTAGCTTGCTTGTGTAACTGAGAATTAAAGATTATTTGTGCTCTCTAAGTCTGTCACATTTTTTTTTTTCAATGATATGCTCCAAAAAATTAAATTAAAAATAGTTGAATGGGTTAAAAAGTAACTTTAAAAT